AAAAAAAAAAAAAAAAAAAAAAACAAAAAAAAAAAAAAAAAAAAAAAAAAAAAACTCGCTGATCGCTCGGCGAGTATATTTCTCGCAAAATAATGCGCGGGAAATCTCCGCGGGAGATCCTCGATCCTTCGGCCTAATCCAGTATATCCGGATGAAGAGCCGAGGAACACATCATGGAATAAATCAGGCCATATCTCTCATCCTGGGAATATATAAGATATTTCCGCGCGTCTGACAAGCCAAGACGCGGCCCGCGCCTGACGAACCCCCAGCAGCAGCGGCCAAAGAACCAACTCTTCACGCGAACTGGTCGACTCGCTAAAATCTAATTCCCTACATATATACGCACAAATTCTACTACAGTACAGTCAAACCCCGTTAAGACGCCCCCCGATGAAGCCTCGGTAACATTTCGTACGAAACAAATCTCCTCAACATATGTGAAGTACCATAGAAAACCTTGATAAGACGCCAACCGCCATCCGTCAGCAGTAGTGATGAAACAGAGGGCGGTTTCGTATTAGTTTTGTCTTTGTTACAAATCCAACATTGGGGTAGAATTATAATTTCTGTCTTGGATCTTGTATTTCTATGAAGAAAAAGAGATGGCAATTTGTATTCTTTTGAATAATTTGAACAATAAATAGACTTAATTTTAAAATTCGAATAAATTAATGCAGTAAAATTCCTTTTCTGAATCCATGTATCACAGCAATATTCTTTGGAAAATTAATTCAGTTTCTAGAGAACAAGTATTTCTGTTATTTTTGGCGTAAAATCGAGTAATTCCAATCGAATAATTTAAAATTAAATATTCTGTAAACCGCCAACAACTCCCTGGAAAAATGATGGCGTCTTATCGGAGTTCGACTGTAGATACAACTGTAGACAAGGATGAGATAATGAAATAAATAAAAGAGAAGAGAAGGAATGCTGTGGGGGGTCAGAAGAAAGCAAGCGTGTACTCACAGCTTCTTCAAATGAGGCAAATGCGAGAAGGCCCCGCGATCCATCGTGATGATTGGATTGCCTTTCAGCTCCAACAGAGACAGCCGCGTGTTGCGCCGGAACGCCATCTCCGGCACGTACGTAATTCGGTTGTTGGCCAACGTGCTGACATCACATTCGGTATTCCCCGTGTTGCGTTCAGACATCGTCGTCGGCACCGGGGAAGACGCGGGAATAGACACAAACACACAAATGGAAAGAACCGCACGAATTAGTACTGTACTCCGTCATGAAGTATAAAGGACAGTGACAAGGCCTGTTTTTCCGGTACATGCGAAGATGATCGTATTTGCCAATTGTCGATGAGGTGCTGAAACCACGCAGCATTTCCTCGATTCAGTAAATACAGTATAGACTAGACCTTGACAGTTTTGAGAAGCCATATCAAAAACAAATTTAATATTATAAAGTTCGAATGAGTATATCCTATTTTCGATAAAATAGGCAGCACCTGATTGTAAAGGTCGTCTGAGAAAAAAAAAAGTACTGTCCCCGAAATTCAGGAGTTTTAGAAATAAGTACGCCGAACTTATTCAAGACTGCTGTGAAAGGGTGAATTAAATTTCACTCGTCGGAACCACGTCATCAAAACTTTATCTTAATTCATGCGTTGAACATTTTTCTGATTTTAAAATGTCTGGAAGAACTTTTTGTTGTTAAAGCTCTCAAATCCAAGTAAGCAAAGATCGGAACTTCTTGAATATTTTTCCAGCTTTCAAAATCATTGCAGCCCTTATTCGTATACGAATATTTTGAGCATATATGTCGCACCTGCAATATTAATCCTCACTTTCATGATTTGTCACATTTTTCGCCTGAAATTTCGAAGTCTTTTCCAACCTAAACAGTTTGTTCCTGTCAGATATAGTTGCCAGTACGTAATAATGTGAATCAATGTGAAGTAATTCTGGGGTCCCTTCGTCTGCGCACACCCAAAATCTGTGTCATCTTTGAAGATTTTTAAATATTTTTTCTTTTGGGCTATTACATTATAATTCAATCAAAGGCTACATTCATCATGATTGAGTAACATGCATTTTGAATGGAAGGAGCTCTTCCTTGCGTACAGAAAAGTATTGAGGCACACAAAAGTCGGCATTACATGCGACTCTTGAAATTTTACGTTATGGAATCATTTCGAGAATTTGAAAATAGTAGAAGACATATCACATCTAATATTTCTGTCTCGTTGACATGAGGCAGGGATGAATTTAAAGGCATTCATGTTTTCTCGCATACAAGATAGACACGAAATTCTAGTACTATTATACAGTATTGAAAAGGACAGTATTCAGAAGTTTCCTGCTGACTGAAATCCAATTATGCGAAACCCTTTGATAAGAGCTTCCGATTCTCAAGCTCAAATTAATAATTTTCCACGAAGCTCATTTTTCTACTTATTTTCTGAGAATAATGTACTTCACAAGTACACCATATTGTATGAATTGCATTCATACAAAAGTGTCAGCAGAACCGCTCGCAATGAATTTCCACGCTACAGTGCTTTATATGTGAAGAATGAGACAAATGTCATTATTCTGCTTTCAACTTCAAAGTACCTGGCTCAAATATTCATTTGAAAGCCGAAAAATGAAAAAATTTCTCTGAATGCGCCATAACAGGTGGAAATCAACGCATACGGGTCGTGACCTTGATCGACCGGTTCATTGGCCGAAAATTATTTTCAAGGTGGATGATTTTAAATTTTTGGGAGTTCCAATGGAAGTCTCGCAAGTAAAGCTGGTGAAAGAAGCATTCATGAAGAAACCGTTATCAAATCATGAGAAATACTTGAATGCTTCGTAGAATTGACGGGTGACAATCTAAATGTTAGGACAGCTGAGCACTAGAAAAAAAAAGAACAAGAGCAATTTTTTTCTGTTTGTTTAACGAAGGGGATGCATAAAAAAATTTGCAACAGAAAGCAGTACAACCAGTTTCGCACGCACTTCAGCTGACGATCCTTGCGATGACTATACAGTACTTTGGCATAACTTATGCACCTCTTTTTTGTGGTAAAAGGGTCCTTACATGGCGATGAAGTTTAATTTCCACGTAAAAAAGCAAAGCATTTACCAGAGCTCAGTGAGAATAATGATGCAATTTATGGAGCTCAAAGGAAACCATGTAATTCTGCAGACAAACTACTTTACAATACAGCATATAAAACGAAGCATGTAATTTTTCCTTGAGCTTTCTGCAAAACGGTCCAGGAGCAGGCATTCCAATTTTCACGACAAGATGTTGAAAATATTAAAAGAACGCTTCGTCAGTCAAAAATGCCGAGAAGACAATCCAAAGAGTCAGTAGTCTCAAATCAGCGTGGTTTAATATATCACTTCACCAGAAGGTCATACTCTTGCGAAATTTTCAAGTTGTCAGGATATTGCAGCATTTTTCATAGCCTGATGAGCAGGAGAAGAATCCACTGAGCTTTCAAATAAATCAACCGCAGTGTTTGATTTTGCTCAGGAACAAAATCAATATCTTCGGAGTTATTAGGAATATTTATTTTAAGCCACTGGATCATCAGTCTTATTTAAAACACTTCGCAAAATTTTAGCAAGAGTTGTGACACTGAGGACAGATACTCTGTCAACTGGGGCAACGCATGATGAAATCTCAGTTTCGCTTGGATTACAGCTAAGATTTAAAATAAATGCATGTATGTTATTTCGAAGTGCTTTCGAGAGAACGCCCTTACTAGAAAACTAGAAACAATAATTAATCTTCAATTCGGATATCTCGCGAAATGTAGAAGGGAAAAGCAAAGAATGAATGGAAAACAATCGCACTTACAGTTCTTCGAGGTGGTCCAGTTGGGCCAGAGAAGGCGGCACTTTATCCAAGAGATTCCCGTTCAGTTCCCTGCGACAAACAAAGATTTCCAGAGCGTGACTTTCCTTTCAAGACTAGGGCCAGGAAATAAAAGCTGAGCTTCCATCAACCCGATCTCAGAGCCCAGCTTAGCTACTACTGTATACACATTGATCAATAAGGAGGCCTGATCATTCAATGATCGGAATGATCGTATCGGGATTCATGAAAAGAAACATTTGGAAATTCTGAGCAGACGAAAAGTGTTTTCCTGTTCAAAATTTGCCTCGAAATCGCGACGAAGAATTGAAAGCTTCACTTCGTTTCACTTTCCACTGAAGGTGGAGAATACCACAGAGAATACTAATGCATGCTCGAGATTTCCTCAGTAAAAATGTTCAAAGCTCGACAAATTTTGTGTGTTATCTTGAAACGAACGAAGGTATTTTCTTTAAATAGCAAGCTGCTCAGGCAAAAAATCTGAATACCTCAAATTTGCCGGTTTCCGAGCACAGAGTTCTGTTAAAAAAATGAGAAAATTGACAAAAAAATTTGCGACTCAAAAACGCACAAAATTTTTTGACGAGAAGTAAAAGCTGTTTAAACCAATTGATGATAACAAATAGACATTACTTTCATCGATGTAAGCAGATCTTCTGGAAATTGACTCCAATTTCGAGTCTGAATGTTTTGATGAACTCTTTCATCAAAAGTTCTGACAGTTTAGAAATCAATAAAAAAAAAAATTTACAGCACCGCGAAGCCATTCCGCTGACCCGCACTAAATTCCCACGCAATTATAAACATTAATCCGTCATTAGGACAAATGCTCGAAGATAAATATCCTACAGGAGAAAATTACTTATTATTTGACTGGTTACAATATTTTCACATTTTTCCTTTTCTTGCTATCCATAAACGGGTTCATAGTTCTTGAATACGGGTTCGTCTCGAAAAATAGACCGGCCTTTCGAGAACAAAATTGGCATAATAACAGACATTCAAATTTTATTCGGCATTCGTAAAAATTCACGGAGTTTGCACTGAGCAATTTATCCTCCAGTACTTCTTTTTTTTTTGTACGGGAAGATTTTCGCGAATGTCAACCTTCCTTCAGGACATCGAACGAAGGTCGGACAATAAAATCTTCACATCTTTCTCTCTCTAAAAAAAAAACAGGGAGAAAAACTTTTATCGATGGAAGAATAATTTAAGCAGAACCCGGTGAATGAAGAAAAAATCTGCGGCGGACAGAAGGCAACAAAAAAGTCCGCAGAAAAGTGCGTCTCTTTCTCTCGCCGCCTCCAGTCGACATCCCTGCATGAAATCTCTCTTCAAAAAAATAATAACAAATCGCAGACAAGGAACCAGAAAAAAAGAGAATAAAAAAGTGAGGATGGCGATAAAAATGAAAAACAGGCCTCGGGCGGACATTCCTTCCGATCGCCGATGTCCGTGACGAAGAAGTTGGCGGTGCTGTCGGGAGGAAGTTCCGCGTCATGTAGCGCGCGCGCCGCGTCGGTATTAGTGTCACGAGCCGGACACCATATAGAAAGTTTTTTCCTCCCTCGGCTTTCCAGACAAAGAAAAGAACAAGCGATCCCCGGTGCCCAGCAGTAATTTGGTGCCATTGCCCTTCCTTCTTTTCATCTTGCTTGCTTTTTTTTTTTTTTTAAACGTAAGTGAAACCCTGATCTTTTCGAGGGTCAGAGTCGCTCAGCGGCCGCGGCCAGCGACTGACTATCTTCAGCGTCCCGAGAGAACAGTCCAGACCAGGCGTCAAAACGAAAGGGATGATAAACTCCAGCATTCTTTCTTTATCCCCGACCCTACTTTCTTACTTGATTGAATTAACTTTCTTTGCATTATTTCGGGATATAACTGGCCAAAAAGCCCACTATGCAATAAAAAAAATCTCCCGCGATCGTACAAAATAAATCATAATACTGTATTCGGAATCAGAACCCCCGAGTTTAAGCATATTTTCCCCACGCAGGTTTTTTCAGCATAAATTGTCTAAAATATCGTGTTTCATCGTACACTCGACTGCATTTTACAAGTGATGAAGTTTTGAATTGCACGTGAAGTCAATGAATATTTCTGGCCAACATAATCTTTTGAATAAGCTTTCAAAAAAATCCTTCCCCCAACTTTCAGCCCAAATAATGGCCATCCTTAGAATTCTAGCATTTAAATCTGACATACATGAATGATGAGCGAAAAAAAAAAAAAATCTGATTGGAAAGAGATTGAATAACATGAAAGTAAATTTTGAATTCGCAGGGAAATGTTTTCAAGCCCCGAAAACAGACGATTATCTCATACTCGA